AGAGGCTAGCTAGTTGGTGGAAAGAGCTCTTCAAACGGAGGCCTTTATTTGGCTTGTTTGCTTGTGAAAACATTCTTAGCACCTTGCTTGGATTGTTGAAGTAGACTCATCTAAATCTTCAGATTAGAGGCTCTTAAGCTCTTTGTAAATCCTTGCATCGTAGCTCATTTTAAGCATTCGGTCTTGATAATCTTTCAAGCTCGGGTAAACTCGAACTCGATCACACTAAGGGCTTCTGTTGCGCACTGAAGCTCTAACCGCAACTTCGATTGGATCGTCCAAGGGAAGCAAACTCAGCACGAGTACCGAGGGAGGCGTCCTACCATTGCCGAAGAGCCCACGTTAAACAAGAAGGGCATTCCCTTTGCTTCTCTTGTAATTTTTTGATTTTCTTTCGGTTTGTAATACACAATTCAATTAATACAAATCTTCTTTGAGAACCAAATTTTACACCTACAGTCCGCCAACCAAGCCATCGGCTCACTCGAGGATAATCTCTCTAACAAACCAATGTAAAAAATAAATAGCAAAGGGCAGTCCAAACAAAACAAAGTTAAATTACACAAAACAAATTCTTTTTCATTAACTGGATTGTCAGAATTTACAAGACTCTCCTATAAAAACTTGACAAAAGAAAGCATAAAAGACAAATCTACCAGGTAGGAGGGGGAGCTAAAGTCCTGAGTTAGTTAGACGTTAGGAGTGAACTAGCCCCATCACTAAGGCCCACTCCAGATAAACTCTCCCCCGGTTCCTCGTCACTATCCTACTTATCCTCCAGCTCAATATCCTTGATGAGTTCAAGCAAACATATATCCTCATGGTCGGGTCTTCTTTGTTCGGATGGAGCTAGGCCATCAAATGATCAAAGCCTACTATGTAGGCAACAACAATCTCTACCTTCCCAAGAGAACTATGACGGTACTTCTCAACCGCCTCCTTCTAAAGGGCTTTTAACCCTTCAAGAGCCAACCGACCCTCGAGGTCTTGAATTTGCTCAAGAAAGGAGATACGCTCCTCCTTGGCCCTCTGAGCAGTGTGAGCATTATTGAAACGAAGAGAATCCTAAAGTGCCTTTTCCTCATTCAATGTCGCCTTCAAATCTTCTGCTTCAAGCCGAGCATTCCAAGCACATTCCTAATAAGCTTCCCTCTCCCTCTTCTGAGATAAAACTTCTTATTGTAGATACTTGATCCGCACATTGGCATACTTCAAGTCATGGTAGGCTTGGTCCAACTCCTCATTTAGGGTCTAGATGTCCTCTGCAATCTTTAGTATCTCCCTCTGAGACCGGTTCAAGAGCGTGTTCTGATAGTGAGAACCCTCGGTGGTAGCCTTGAACTCCTTAGTCTGCTAATCAGTTTGCAGTCTCTCTTAAGTTGGACTAGCTCCTTGGCCCTCAAAGTAGCTACAAGCTTAGCTGACTCCAAAGTAGCTTTATGGGTTACTATCTCCTCAGGAGCTTATTGAAGAGTTCGCAAGACAACTCGAGCCTATTAAAAAGCTATCTCTCCATGAGCACACCCCTAACCAAATAACTCTACAAGATGTGATACAGACCATGATTGGGTACCTCACGCACAAAGCTTGGTCAATAGGGAGATAGATCTGCTCCATTACATAGGCCTGGTTGACCTGAGACTCCAAGACCGACCCTCTAGAGTCAAGTCGATAGCTTGGCATAAAAACAAACTCCTCAAACCGATCCCTCTCACGATGAGGCCCAGTCATAGATAATATGATAAGGATCAACCTTAGCCTCTCTCACTCAAGGCAAGGAATCTCATCTATACGATGAACAAAATTCCACTCAAACCGACCCCTCGTAGGAACCTCCTCTAGCGTAGTAGACTCATCACATTGGTTCTTGTCCCCTTTTAGACTCCTTTTCTGCT